TTTAATGCATATTTTCCTCTTGAATATGGCCTCAAAAAAACTTCCTTTTTTTAAAGAGGAATATACTTTACTTGAGAGGATTCGTCTTAAAATGATAGGGAAATTATTTATATTCCTTATTTAAGAATAAAATTTAAGAGGACTTTAGAAGAGGAATTTTCCACAAAAAGTAAATATAATTTTTTTGGGTTCACCAGGAATTTGTCGTAACAAGTGACTAAATTATTCGTAAAGAAAAACTGAAGTTACAACTTCAAAAAACTTGAATTAATTCATTTTTAGAAGGCCCAAAAATAAAATGTTGTGCAATGTTAGCAAAGCAGTTATAAATTTGGTAAATTTCGATTTTGAATGAAATTCATTTTTCTTTCGTAACTCAAAAAAAAAATATTTGCATAATTTTTATTTTATACTCATAATTTTCGTAAAGTTTTCTGTTTTTTTTTAAATATTTGAAATATTTTTTGTGATTCTAACTTCTTACTTACTTTTTTGAAATAAAATAAGCAACTTTAAAAATAATAGAATTTAAAAATTTTTAATTCAAATTTTTGTTGAAAACACTTAAAAAAATTGAATTTTAGAGAAATTACAAATAATTACGCAGAAATTCAGTTATTTTTAAAAGTAACAAAATTCTTCTCATAAAATTCAATTGTGTTAAAATTTTTTTAAAAATTCTCGTCAAAATCACAATTATCTTTATAAATCACAATATTCTTCACCAAAGTTCAATTATTTTAAAAAATGTTAAGAAAATTCTTGTCCTAATTTCAATTATTTTCAAAAATTTTTCTCGATTCCAATGATTTTCAATATTTACTATTTTAATAAAATTTACCAAAATTAATTCAATAAAAAAATTTTTAATAAAATTGTACGCAAACTTTTAATTATTTTCATAAAAATTTCACAGGAATTCAATTATTTACATATTTTTTATAAATTTCTTCGCAATAATTTAATTATTTTCAGTAAAAAATAATTTTAAAGTCTAGAAATTTTTGAAAATCTTAATTCTTATGGAAAAATAATAATAATTAAATATTTATTTAAAAATAAAGTAATTGATGTTTTCGAATAATTTTTAATTAAAATTTATAATTGACAAATGGAAGTTATAAAAATTTTTTTCGTTTATTTTTTTAATTTCCTTATGAAAATTGAGAATTTTGTACAAAAATATTATGAAACGGGAATATGTAATGTTTTTTTTCCCAAAAAAAAAGAATAAAAGATAGAATGAAAGAATAAAATAAAGAATGAATTAATTATTGAGAAATAGAAATTGTGCTTAAACTGATTACATTTCCTATTTCTTAATCATAATTTTTTAACAATTAACAATTTTTTATTTTTTATAAATAGAAAGGAGAAAAATGTGCAAACTTTAGATCAGTCAAACGAAATTTGTTATAGAAAAAAGCTTATAATGAACAAAATTTATTTGTTAATCATAATTTTTTAAAAATATTTTAATTTTCTAATTTCAAATATTATTTTATTATAATTCAAAAAAAAAATACCTGCATATTTTCGATTTGTCAAAAAATATTTTTTAAATTCAATTTTGGAGAAATTGCAAATAATTTATCACAGAAATTCAATTATTTTCAAAAGTAATAAAATTTTTCTCATAAAATTCAATTATGTTTAAAATTTTAAAAAAATCCTCGTCAAAATCCCAATTATCTTTGTAAATAACAAAATTTTTCCCCAAAGTTCAATTATTTTCAAAAATCACAATAAAATTCTTGTCCTAATTTCAATTATTTTCAATATCTACTATTTTAATAAAATTTTCCGAGAAAAATTCAATTATTTAAAAAAAAATTCAATAAAATTGTACACAAAGGCACAAACATTTAATTATTGTCAAAAATAATAAAAATTCCACAGGAATTCAATTATTTACAATTTTTTATAAATTTCTTCGTAATAATTCAATTATTTTCATAAATGTTTAATTATTATAAATTATTATCAAACATGAAGAAATCGATCACTCCGATTCTTCGACTCGGAGCAATCAATATCTTCATGCGTTTTATACCAAAATATACTTTTATAAGTTATTTAATTTCAAAAAGGTTTGAATTTGGAATTTTTGAATGTCTTAATTCCTGTGGAAAAATAATAATAATTAAATATTTATTTAAAAAAGAAATTATTGATGTTTTTGAATAATTTTACAATTAAAGAAATTCGTAAAAATGTAACGCGGAACATTTTCTTTGAGTAACATTTTTTCCTTTTTTTGTTTATTTTCTAAAAATTCAAAAATTTTCAATTTCAATGAAAATTTGTAATTGACAAATAGAATTTATAAACATTTGTTTCGTTTATTTTAAAAAAAAACTTTGAATTTTATTAAAACATGTAATTAAAAAATTGAAATAATGTAAATTATTTTTTTGTGAAAATTAAAAATTTACAAAAATATTAAGAATCGGGAATATGTAATGTTTTTTCCACAAAATAAAAGAATGAGTTTGTGAACAATATTGTTATTTAGAAATAAAAATTATGCATAAAATGGGTATTTATTTACTATTTCTTAATTATTATTTTTTAACAAATTTTCTATTTTTTATAAATAAACAAGAGAAAAATTTGCATAATTTAGATCAGTCAAACGAAATTTGTTATAAAAAAAGCATATAATGAACAAAATGGGTAAATTTTTCAATTTGTTATTCACCATTATTTTTTAATTTTCTAATTTCTAATATTATTTTATTATGAATTATGAAATAATACCTGCATATTTTTAATTTGTCAAAACAAATTTTTTTTAAAGAAAAAAAAACAGAAAAATACACAAAAACTAACTTCAGGTGCGGACAGAATGAAAGAATGAATAAGACGATTATTATAGTTAATTCTTTGAAGTTAGGCTTCAAAACCGTTGAAATGACAAGAAAAAATAATGTAAATATGAAGATTATCGACTGTTATCATTTGTCTGATAGATAAAGTTTTCCTCATATTAAATCTATAATGTTTAAATAAAATCAAAATAATTATTGAATATTAAGTTTATTTACCTCAATATGCAAATGCACAGACTGCATGAAAACGATGATTGTAACAGATTGTAACATTTAAATATTTTTTCCGTTTTTCTCCAAACATTTTTCATATCACAGTTGTTTTTCGTCTGTATTTTACAACTCTCGGGGTTTATACCTGCACTACTCATGGAAAACTGACCCTGTTTTTCATTCACATACAAGAGCAACAGCAAGTGACATGTAGAGGGCAAACTTTTTCTACCTTCCTTCTCCTCTGTTACTTCCGTTTCCGCTTGTCTGTGACGTTGATTGTGAGTGAACTTTTTCTACTCTCTTTCGTGCGGCTAACTTCGACGTTTAATACAACAGGGCAATTGGAGGGTGAGCTTTAAAGTGAGGATTTGAAAAAGAACTCCAAAAAAAAGAGAGAGAGAGAGAGAGAGAGAGTGCAAAGTTTGCCTCTATTCTAGAATATAAAAATGCTGATGATGCATTTATTCAAAAATCCGTTTTATAACGGCGCATATTTTTTTTCAGTCATTAATCATCAATTTATATGTAAATATGAATGTTTTGGAAGAATAATTACAAGTTGTAAATTGTCTCTATTGGTTATATTCCAAAAGGGAGGAATGCTGAAACGATATTTATTATCCTAAACGAAAATGACAATAAAATCAATTTTGCATAATCAATTAAATTAATAATCAATTCATTAGCGAATGGTATAAATATTTAATTGATAAATGAGATAAGGCTTTTTCCGCTAAATAATCGTGAAATTTTGATGAAAGCTTCGGTTGATACGTTCAGACATGCAGAAAATATTGTTCCCTTCTAGGTAATTATTTTCTCGTGGAAGAATGACCTCGTTGACACTGTTTTCCAGAATTGGAGCTCCATTTATCATCGACAGTATAAATGCGAAAGGGAGGAACGACTGCTGAAATAAGCTGGGAATTATCTGTTATCAGAATTATGTGTCAATTGGTAGAACAATTATAAACAATATGTCGCTTACTGCTTCTTGAGTTAATCTAACATATCAATTTAGTTCTTATTTTCATTTCACTATTCTCATTTTTATGAATTCATTTTAAATAGAAAATTTTACGGTTGATAACGCCCACGCCAATTATCATGAAGCTTCCACTTTCAGAATAGTAATTAGGGGCATTGGTGCAAAAGATGATTACTCCCAGATGTTAGTCACTTTACACCTAATATTTACTTTGCCCCACGACATATATCACAATTCAAAAATTAATTTCGTGCGTATAGAATTAATTAATACTGAAGTTTCACTTATTACTTTAATTTATTCTCATCAACTTGTTTTTCACCTATAGAGTCTGTGTCTTAAGTTTTGCAACTGGAAACTTTCATTTTCGGAATATTATTCAAAACTTAAAAGCAGGAAAGATAAGGTTTCTTGAGAGAATATTATTATAAAATGTAATTACTAATTAATAGAGGCGAAGATCCGGATGAATCAAGAGAAGCTATTTCTTCTTATCTTGATAAGAAATTTCTTATCTTATTTTCAAAGTATTTTGGGGAATTAATTCTAAATGCTGATAATGAATCAATAAAGTTTCTTTCGTTGCTTAGGAGTAATTAATTCATTGTTGTAAAATATCTTCCTTACACCTTGTGCCGTTTTTCTTCGTAGTTCTATATCTTCTTCGCGACTAGTTTATCTCGCGTCAGTAGACACCCCCCCATGAATTGTAAATCACTTGATCTCTTAACTTTTTTAATACTTTTTCACGACAAGGTGGCGTAAATAAAAGATTTTTTTTACTGTGATTCGTGAAAAATACATGGGAAATTGTTAACCAAAAAAAACATAAAGTATTTGCTTATTCAGTAACAATTATTGCAACTATTAAAATTTCCCGATTGGTAATTGTCAATTTTACAGATTAATGTTAATAAAACTGCAAAAGTAAAGAATTCCATCAGAATAGGTACTAAAAATCTTACCTCAATAATTCGAGACTTATGCAGTATCGTGTTTCCAGCTGGTTGAAAGCGTTCCATGTCTTTAAGAATTCCTCGTACGACATTGTCGTCCGCATCAACTAGTCGAAAGGCAGTGATGTTCACGAAATTGTATTTGAATTCTTCCAGATCAAAAGTCTCGATATCCTTAAAAATTGAACTATTCTTCAAATTCAAAATAATTTTAATATAATTGCATAAGCAAAAGAATTTTAACCCTTTAGGGCCCGACTTTTTTTAAGTGATGTGATTTTCGTCCATTACTTAAGGGTTTTTGCAAGTCAGTTAAGTCAGTTTTTGTAAAATTTTCAAAATTCAAAATGGCGGACGAAAAAAATTTTAAAATTGATCTAGGCTCATGAATTATTTTCATAAATAATGACATTTTTCGTAAGAATTCATAATTATTTTTATAAATAGTAAAATTTTTTGCAAAAATTCAATTATTTTTAAACAAAATTTTAAAAAAATTTCACAAACTAATAGGTTTTGTAAAATTTTTATAAATCCTTGAAAGCATTATTCAAATTATTTTTTTAAATGGTAAAATCTTTGCAAAAATTCCATTATTTTCAAGAAAATTTCGCGACAGAATTCAATTTTTTCTTAATTTGTTGTAAAATCTCTGCAAAAATTCAATTATTTTGAAAAAAAAATTTTTTACGAAAGTATTCAATTTTTTTTTAATTCGTTATGAAATATTTCAAAAGAATTCAATTAATTTCTAAAATTCTTTAAAAAAATTCAATTATTTTTAATACAATTTTAAGTAAATTATTGGCCAGATCTAGTCCACACCGCGCATTTCGATTGGGACAGACAGCCCGAGAGTAGTTGCTGTTATTGCACGCTGCGGCTCAATTCTTGCTGTAATGCTTTTAATATTCAATTATTATGTAAAATTTTAACGGAAATTCATTTTTAAATCAATTTTTATTAGAAATTTCTAAGAGAATTCAATTATTTAAATACAAAAATAAATAATTTATTGAATAAATGAATGTTTTTCAAAATTGAAATCTCATAAAGAATTTTATCAACAAATTTTTAAAGAATTGAATTTTTTCGACGAATTTTAATATAATTTTCAAGAATAATTACATTTTTCGAGGAATTCGATTAAAAATAATTCAAGTTCTATGATGAGTTTTATTATTCATGAAAATATTTGAATCTCGGTAAAAAATTTTATTATTTATGAAAATAATTCAATTTTTGCTTTAAATTTTATCAACACTTTTTTTTTAAATTGAAATCTTTTGAATAATTTTATTATAAAATAGTAGATATTAAATAAAAATGATTGAATTGAGGAAAATTTTTGAAAATAATTGAAATTTTGCCAAGAATTTTATTATTTTTAAAGATAATTGAAACTTTGAGGTGGGATTTTTAAAAATTTTTAAACATAATTAATTTAAGCGTAGAATAATTTTTTTTTAATTCGTTATGAAATATTTCAAAAAAATTCAATTAATTTTTAAAATTTTAATAAATCCCTCGAAACAATTCAATTTTATTTATAAATAGTAAAATTCTTTTAAAAAATTCAATTATTTTTAATACAATTTTAATAACATTTCAAATAAAAATTCAATTATTTTTTTAAATTTTATTTTTTGTTTTTCGAGAAAAAATTCAATTATTTTCTAAAATTATAATAAATTCTTCAAATAATTCAATTATATTTATAAATGGAAAATTATTATCAAAAATTCAATAATATTCAAAACAATTTCACGAAACAATTCAATTTAAAAAAAAAAAATTTAATAATGTTTTTCGAGAAAATTCAATTATTTTTAAAAATTTTAATAAATTCTTCGAAACAATTCAATTATATTTATAAATAGTAAAATTCTTTGCAAAAATTACATTATTTAATTAATTATTAATTAATTATTAAATTATTAATTAATTATTAAATTATTAATTAAATTTTCAAAAAAATTCAATTTTTTTCTTTATTTTTTATAAAATTTTTCAAACGAATTCAATTACTCTCTGAAATTTTAATAAAATTCAATTATTTTAAAAATTTTTAATTAAAATTATTAAAGAAACTCTTTTATTAAAAAAAAAAAATTAAGAGAGATTCTTCAAAAAGAATTTAATTAGAATTTTCTAAAATTTTAACAAAATTCTTGGCGAGAATTCAATTTGTTCCCTAAATAATAAAATTCTTCGAAGGAATTCTATTATTATTCAATTTTTTGATAAAATTCTTTGCAACAATTCGATGACTTTCAATACATTAATTTTAAAATTTTAAATATTTAAAAAGAAAAATTATTTAAAAAAGTTAAGGAACAAAAAAGGAAACAACAAATAACTTCAATCTGCGAACAGATTACCGGAATACAACGATTATTAATATAAATGTTAGTTTTTCAAAATTCAAAATGGTGGATCCAATATGGAGGACGGAAAAATTTTAAAATTGAGCCAGGCTCATGAAAATGACCATTTAGTGGTTTTTGGATCCACCATTTTGAATTTGGAAAAAGTAACAGCAGAATCGTAATCAGCGACCCTAAAAACCCTTAAGTGGTAATTTTCATAAGCCTAGTAAAATTAAAAATTTTTTTTTGTCCGCTATATTGGATCCGCCATTTTGAATTTTGGAAAACTAACAACAGATTCGTAATCAGTGACCCAGTAAACCTACATATAAAAATTTTCATGAGCTTTGCTTGAAGTAATTTAACAATTTACAATTTTTTTAACAACTCTCAGCAAAAACATTTTTTATATTGTTATAATTATAAGATTTTTGTAAATTTTTTGCACTATAATTTTTTTTTACAAAGTAATATAAATTACTAGATCTTTGGCGTTTAGAACTCAAAAATTGATTAATTTTTGAAAAAGTTATGAATGTTCAAACTCAAAATAAGTGGTTTTAATCGAAACCGCTGGGCCTTAAAGGATGAATTTAAAAAATCACATAATTATAATAATATAGATCTAAACTGTAATTATGGTCAAAATAGGATGAACAGAAGGAAATTAATTATGAAATAAAAAAGTAGTGATTACTTACAAAACTTGTAAATAGATAGTGGTACTTGTAGTCATTCATTTGTAATTGCAGAACCTGAAATTTTTTAAAAATATTCTTAGTTTAATATAATTAAATAAATATTTTAAAATTGTTCCAAATATGGTAAATGTTTGAATTTGTGAACATACGGACTAATTTGTGCATAATTGCGTAAATAATTGTCAATTTGAACTGAATGCAATCGAACACAATGTTGCAAATATTTATTCTTCATTATAATATACATCTGTGGTTGTATTTGGTAATTTATTATAATAAATAAAATTCTTTAGTAATTTAATATTCAAATAATATTTTTCTTTAAACATTAATATGTATTAATATTTAAAGATAAATATAATTAGAATGTTAAACTCTATAATTAAAAAAAACTTTTTTCTAAAGTCGGATCAAACTGAAGTTCCAAAAAATGATTAATCTTGTTTCTCAATAAAAATATTTTTAAGCAAAACAATACAATTCATTATTACTGTGAGTGAAATTTTAAGCAGTCGACTAATTCAAACATTTCCATAAACATAAACAAGAACTTGCCATTTTTAAAAAAAGATGCATATTTTCCGATTTTGTGTCAACAATAAAATTTTGAATTTCCTTGCTTTTTGCCTCGGTTAAAATTTGTTTGTAAGTCCCTGGATCGGCTTGCCTCATGTAAATTTCGATATCCTTTAATTTTGGAGATCGTGCAAGTTCTCGGAGTTTAATTAAACCTGAAAATCAAATAAACATTCTTTCTACTTCTATTCCAAGATAAATGTCTAACTTCTATTTACGTAAATCTCTCTCAAAGCAGTTACAGGTTCAAAAACTTTCTTCACCTTTTTGAAAAAAAAGAGAAATAAAAAGAATACTAAAATAAGTGGAATAAAAATATATTATTTAATTTGTAGTAAATTTTCAAATTAGCAATTTTTTAAGGATTAGAATTTATGAACAGAAAATAATTACTTCACTGAATTCTCAACTATATCGATTGAAACGGAATCTTTTATAATCAACTTTCGATAAAGTCGGGTGTCAAAAACACTTTTCTAGGAGTTGAGGCGAGGTAAAGATTCGTGACTGTTAGTTATTGATGTGTCCAAAGAGAGAAATTTTTGTGCGGCCAATAATTTTATAAACCGATAATTATACCACTTTGAGTCAAATACAGAATTGTTGGAAAATTTTGATTTCTAGAGGAAATTATTATTTAGTTAATAAATTTTCAATGATTTCGTGTAAAAAAATCCAATTTTTTTGAAGAAAAATTTCAATATTTCCAAAAATACGAAATATATTAAAGTTTCCAAAAAAAAGGAATCGAGATTTTAACTCAATTAATAATATTACAGAATATTTTACAAATCCGTTAAGTAGTTTAATTTCTAAGTTCGTCTAAAGATAAAAAAATCCAATTTTTTTTGGAAAAAAATTCAAATATTTCAAAAACTTAAAAAACTGTTCTATATTACATTCAATTAAGAATATTTTAATTGTAAAATTATTCCAAAACACCAATAAATTCTTTTTTAACAAAATCTTTAATCATTATTATTATTCCATAGGAATTAAGATTTTCAAAAATTTCAAATTCAAATCTTTATGAAATTCAACAACTTATAATAATTTAAATTTCCATAAAATTTTTCAAAAAAAAAAAATTAAATTATTTACAAAAATTTTAATAAAATCCTTCCCAAGAATTTAGATTTTTTTCACAAGTAATAAAATTTTTCAAATGAATTCAATTATTGAAAAAAATTGTAATAATATTCGTTCTAAGAATTCAATTATTTTCATAAATAATAAAATTTTTCTTAGGATTCCAATTATTTTTATTACAATTTGAAAGAAAATTCCTCGAAAAATGTAATTATTTTTAAAAATTTTTTGCAAGAATTCAATTACATTTCAGAAATAATGAAATTCTTCGCTAAAATGCAAATACTTTAAAAATCTACTATTTTAATAAAATTTCTTAAATGAATTAAATTATTTTAAAAAAATGTAATAAAATGCGTTGCAAGAATTCAATTATTTTCATAAATAATACAATTCTTTACAGGATTGCAATTTTATTAAAAAAAAAAAATGTAATAGAAATTCGTTGCAAGAAATGGACTATTTTCATATAAATAATATAATTCTTCACAGGACTTCAATTATTTAAAAAAAATGTAATATAAATTCTTTACAAGAATTGAATTATTTCCCTAAATAATAAAAATCTTCACAAGATTTTAATTATTTTTAATACAATTTTTTAATAAATTCTTCGCAAAATGTAATTATTTTCAAAAATATTTAAAATTCAATTATTTTTGAAAATTCATGCTATAATGCTTTTAATATTCAATGATTATATAAAATTTTAACTGTAATTCAATTTTAAATCAATTTTTATTAGAAAATTCTACGAGAATACAATTATTTATATATACAAATATAAATAATTTATTGAATAAATAAATGTTTTTCAAAATTGAATCCCTATAAATAATTTTATTAACAAATTTTTAAATAATTAAATTTTTTAGACGAATTTTAATAAAATTTTCAAGAATAATTACATTTTTCGAGAAATTCGATTAAAAAATTCTATTGAAAATAATTCAAATTCTATGATGAGTTTTATTATTCATGAAAATAATTGAATCTCGGTAAAAAAATTTATTATTTATGAAAATAATTTATTGTTTGCTTTAAATTTTATAAACACTTTTTTTAAATAATTGAAATATTTTTAATACCTAATTTTATTATAAAATAATAGATATATTGAAAATGCGATTGAATTGAGGAAAATTTTTTAAAATAATTGAATTTTGAAGAAGAATTTTATTATTTCTAAATATAATTGAAATTTTGGAGAAGAATTTTATTAATTTCTAAAGATAATTGAAATTTTGACGTAGAATTTAAAAAAAATTTTGAACATAATTGAATTTCTGCGATGAATTTTATTACTTTTGAAAATAAGTTGAATTTCGTCAATCATTTGTAACTTCTTCTAAATTCAATGTTTTCAGTATTTAAACCCTTCCGTGCCCCCGGGAAACGCAGCCAGTGGATTTTATTAAAACTTGTTACTCGGGGGGTTTTTGGAGTCCCTGATTACGAATTTTAAGTCAGATTTTCAAAATTTTCAAAATTCAAAATGGCGGGTCCAATATGGCTGACATTTTTTTGAAATTGCTCAAATTTGCATAAAATTTGTTACTCGGGGGTTTTCAGGGTCGTTGATTACGAATCTGAAGTCAGATTTTTGAATTTTAATATGGTAACCCTGAAAAACCCCGAGTAACAAGTTTCAAGCGAATATGAGCAATTTTGAAAAAAAATGTCCATCAACTTGAATTTTAAAAATTTTTTAAATCTGACTTTAGATTCGTAAGCAGCGACCTCGAAAACTCCTCAGTAAGAAGTTTTAAGCAAATTTTGAGGAAATTTTGAAAAATTACATTTTGATATTTTTTTAACAATATTCTATCTATTGTTTTTAATAATTATAATAGTACTATGTAATTTCGAATTTTTTTATACATAGTAGTTACGTTGGTGATTAAAAAAAGCTATATTAATTGTTAATAGGTTTAAAATTATAAGAGTTTTATAAAATTTTGTAAGTGGTACATATATATGTACCGGAGGCGCGAAAGGGTTAATAAAAATCTCTGACTTTTCCCTAAGATTCCCCTGACCTTTGACAACCCTGGAAATGTTAAAATATTTTTTTTAATGTTATTCATAGTAATTTTTGATACACTGAAATTTAGAAAATAAATAATGTAAATTGAAAAATTCACGAAAACTATTATTATTTATAGTAGAAAGTTTTAACATTTGGCATTGTATTTGAAAACTCGACTTTTCTCTCCGCGTGAGAATGTTATACTCCCTTGAGATGGATCTTTTGAAGTAAAGAAAGAAAAAGGGGAATATATGAGAGGAATTTCTATTTTTATGATCGTATCAAAAAGATGTTATGGGAACAAGTCCAGGATGATCTTTGCTCATTTTTCCTTCGTCGAGCATCTTATCGTGTGACCGGACGCTTAAATGGGCGGAAACCCGTGAATCGCGTCGACCCTATGAAATCAATACTTCTAGCGCCTAAGTAATCAAGGTATCATCTCAACTTGTGGGTCTTCATGAGGTTCGTTTGGGCTCGTTCCCTCTTTACTTGAGAGATTTATCTCTGATCTTAAATTCAAAACGATAAAATGTCAGCAAACAATATATTCAACATTTTAAGTCTTTAGGTCAATCGGCAAATTTCTGATAAAAAAAAAGAATTCTGTATTTTTTCCAAGAGTTTCAAGTACGGATTTTTTTTCCAATAACTTTTTATCAAGAATTTTATTAAAAAATTAAATTTTTGTTTGTGGATGATAATTAAAATATACCTTTAATTATTAAGATTGTATAAAGTACGATTACGTAACGTGATTAATTTATAATGATCTAATTTTTATTAAAGAAACATTTTTCCAATAATTATTTTGTTCTTCTTCAGCTTCAGGTAATTTGGGTAAAGCCAAGATTGAGAATAAAGTTACGTCTTAATTTGCATGTTAATTAATTCCATATTAAAAGAAATCTATGGCCCTAATTGAAAAAGGGGAGCTAAAGGAAAGTCTTGGTGAATTAATAAAGAAATTCTCATTAAATGAAATACTCATTTTGTGAATTTAAATTCAACCATACGTTCATTATTTTATTCATTTATTTTGTTATCTTTTTGAGAAGGAAAAAAAAAACTTTTCAAAAAATAAAATCCTAATAGTATTCGTTCAAAATGTATCGATGACAAGCCAATTTTAGTCTAAAGTTAACAGTAAAATGTTTTTCAGCTATTTTATAAATAAATGTTTTATCCTCATAAATCGGCTTATGTCGTAAAATCCCTGAAAAGGTTGTAGGGATAATTGGCTGAATCGTTGGTAAGTTTCAAAGAAAGAGTAAAGAAGTGGCTTTAGAAGAGGATAATTTCTCTAGGGACTCAAAAGATTTGATGCCATTGCTCACAAAGTTAGGAAATCGCATGTTCGCGCCCAGCCATTGATTTTCAAACGCGAGTCATAGACTATATCCTTTTCTCTAATGACACTCAATTTGCAATTATTCCATGCAATTTGAATATATCATTGATGGCGAAAATCGGAAAATTTAGATACGCTGTGTAAAATTCGAAAAGTAGAAAAAGGTAAAGTTATGTCCATTAGAATTTACATTTTTTTTTTTGGTAAAAGAAATAAAAATTCATTACAGCAATTTATATTGAAAAATACTCGAGTGTAAAATTCAAGTTAAGAGAATGTCAAAATATTTCAATTGCATACATTTGTTCATTGAGTGGAAGAACAATATTATGACTGGAAGTTAAAAGAGTGTTGGCAATTTTTTTTTTTAGAAAAGAAGGACAATGGAAGAATAAATGCGCACTTAGATTTACGAAGCAAAGGGATGACTTCGATGAACTCGTAAAGACTATATATGTATATATAAGATCCAAGAACTCTTTCTCGTTCGTAATCGGATACACAAATGTGCAATTCTTTCTTCTGGCGACTTTTTATGAAACGACTCCAGCGAACTGCTTGCCATTTATGATCGCTTTGCTGCCCCCTCAGTTTCATTTCGACTTGAGTTTTATTCAAGCGAGAAACTTAAAGAGAAAGAGTATGATTGTGAATTTTCTCTTTTCTTTTCATTATATTCCATTTCA